TAGCCTTCCAAGTAGTTGGAACTACAGGTGCATGCTACCATGCCTGGCTAATTTTTTATTTATTGTAGAGACAACGTCTCGCCAAGTTGCCCAGGCTGGCCTAGAACCCGCGGGCTCAGGCAATCCTCTCACCTCAGCTTCCCAAAGTGCTTGGATTACAGGCTGAGCACCCAGCCTGGCCTGAGTCCAGTAGCTTGAGGCTGTGGTGGCTGGGTATGCCACTCCATTATAGCCTGGGCAAGAGTGAGTCTCTGGCTCAAAAAATAAAAATTAAAAAAACTACTTATAAATAATGGATGGTAAAGGAAAACTATCTTCAGAGTAGAGAACTTTTTTGTTTTTAGTCAGCTTCTCTGTCACCTAGGCTGGGGTGCAGTAGCATGCTCACAGCCACTGAAGCCTCGACCTTCTGGCTCAGGTGATCATTTAGCCTCAGCCTTCCAAGTAGCTGGAACCACAGGCATGAGCGAGAGGATTGCCTGAGCTCAGGGGTTTGAGGTCAGCCTGTGCAACTTGGCAAGACTTTGCCTCTACAATAAATAAAAAAATTAGCTGGGCATGGTAGTGCATGCCTATAGTTACAGCTACTTGGAAGGCTGAGGCAGAAGGATCATCTGAGCCGAGCAGGTCGAGGCTGCGGTGGCCATGAGAGTGCCACTGCCCTCCAGCCTGGGTGACAGAGTGAGACTTTGACTCAAACAAACAAAAAACTACCTAAAAATAAAAGAGGAGGGAACTGTAAGAAACAAAATGGTGATTCATTTTCAAAATGGCAATTTGTTACTTCACTTCCTGGTTCTTCCTTTTTTTTTTTTCCAAATAGCATAAACATAACATAACTGAATAAAAGCCCATGGGACTGTTTCTTCTCTTGAGAACCACCAAAATGTCTAATTACTTGCATAACAGCATAACATCACTAAATGACACGAGCTAGGGGAATTTTAGAAATTGCACTCCAGCAGACTGTGAATGAAGAACTAGAAAGAGAAAAGAGTGGCTGGAAGCAGAGAAACAAATTAATAAACGATTACAGTAACTCAAGCAAGAAATGATGAGGAAGGCAGTGGAAGTGAGGACGCAGGGAGGAGGGGGCTCAAGTTATTGAAAAGAGAATGTAAGCCGGGCTCGGTGGTTCAGCCTGTAATCCCGCACCTTTGGGAGGCTGAGGTGAGTGGATTGCCTGAGCCCGTGGGTTCGAGACCCGCCTGGGCAGTGAGACCTCATCTCTACAATAAATAAAAAAAACAGCTGGGCATGGTAGCACATGCCTGTAATTCCGGCTACTTGGAAGGCTGAGGCGAAAGGATCGCCGGAACCCAGCAGGCAAGGCTGTGGTGGCCAGGAACGGTCACTGCACTCCAGTCTGGGCAACCGAGTGAGACTCCAACTCAAAAAAAGAAAAGAGAATGTAAGCCTTACTGGTCCACACTGGGAGATACACCAGTCAGGACTCAAGATAAGCAGGACCACAAGGAGATACATACAAAGGGACTTGTTACACACATTCAAACTCTCCAAATTCACACATTCAAATTCACACATTGTTGCTAGAGCTAGCAAAGAGTCTCTGTAAGGCTGCTGACTTTGGGTCTACTGCTGGGTTTGTTAAACTAACACAATGAAAACTACCACCATGGTCCACTAGGGATTGGTTCAGGGGTAGAAGTTGTATTTCTGGTGGAGATTTCTTCAAATAAAGTGTTACAAAATCCAATAATAAAGACAGCTACTGCCATGCATATTTGGGAGTAAAATCACAGTGGTAAAATGCCATTTTCCACTACATCATATAAAGTGTGACTATCAACATAATTTAGGCTATTGATGCTACCATGATTGCTTGTTTGGGGCAGGATTTACTGAGTTTCTGCACTGCAAAGTTAGTCATTGACCCTTTTCCATTCTGGGCTCTTTGGAAAGAAAGCACTATGTGCAGCCCTCACTTTCAGAGGGGGTAAGTTATTCTCTACTCCTTGAGGGTGAGGCATTTACATTCATGATGTGCACGGGAGATTTGGTACACTTTTATAGTTATCTATGTTGTACTCATTTGTGTTAGTGTAAACTCATAAATATTTATTTTATTATTAGGATATAATCCAATACAACTTTGTTTTCTTGCTTAAGCTGTTCCAGCTAATGTCACTGACAACCCTTTGACTGACTCCTGAGTTCAATGTATCTCATTGTTGTACATGATGTGTGTTAAATATGCTACTTATGCTAAATGTCCACCTAAAAATACCTTCTTCTTAAGCTTTTCCATGTAAATTTTTTTTAGCAATTTAAAATTACACTATAATTTCTTTCTTTTTTCTTTTTAATATTTTTTGAGTTAGAGTCTCACTCTATCACCCAGGCTAGAAAGCAGTGGTATGCTCATGGTCACTGCAGCCTTGCCCTGCTGGGCTCAGGTGATCCTCCTGCCTCAGCCTTCCAAGTAGCTTCCAAGAACTACAGGCATGTGCCACCATGCCTGGCTAATTTTTCTTTTCTTTTCTTTTTTTTTTTTTTTTGAGTTGGAGTCTCACTCTGTCTCCCAGACTAGAGTGCAGTGGCCGCTCCTGGCCACCGCAGCCTCGACCTGCTGGGCTCCGGTGATCCTTCCGCCTCAGCCTTTTGAGTAGCCAGAATTACAGGCGCGCGCTACCACGCCTGGCTAATTTTTTGATTTATTGTAGCGATGAGGTATCGCCTGACCAGGCGCGTCTCGAACTCACGGGCTCAGGCAATTCACTCACCTCAGCCTTCCAAAGGCGCGGGATTATAGACTGAGCCACCGAGGCCAGCTAATTTTTCTTATTGTTGAGATGAGGTCTGACCAAATTGCCCAGGCTAGTCTCGAACCTGTGGGCTCAGGCAATCCTCTCACCACGGCCTCCCAAAGTGCTGGGATTATAGATGTGAGCCACTGAGCCATTCCTTACACTGTAATTTCAAAAACTGTTTTTTGGGTTTTTTTTGAGTTGGAGTCTCATTCTTTCACCCAGGCTAGAGTGTAGTGGCACGTTCACAGCCACCACAGCCTCGAGCTGCTGGGCTTAGGCAATCCTTCCGCCTCAGCCTTACAATTAGCTGGAACTATATACATACGCATGCTACCATGCAGAGCTAGTTTTTGTGATTTATTGTAGAGATTTATTGTAGGTCTCGCCAAGTTGCCCAGGTTGGTCTGGAACCCCCGGGTTCAAGCAATCCTCTCGCCTTGGCCTCCCAAACTGCTGGGATTACAGGCTGACCCACCATGCCTGGTCAAAAAAAACCTGTCTTTTCAAGCATCACAAATATTCAGTCTAGAATTGCAATGAAGTCTAACGATCAATTTGGAGAGATCTGACTGTAAATTACAATGTAAAAATCATCTGTAAATATATTTGATTTATTTAGAACTTTATAATGCATTATAATAAAACTTTATGTCTTCACAAATAAAGATAACTACCTACTGTTTAATGGGCACTTACTATGTGTTAAGCTCTTCACATATGTGACTGAACTCTCACAAAACTGCAAGTTTAGCATTATGGTCACCATTAGATAAGGTGAAACAGAGATAAAGCGAAATCAGAGAAGGAAAACAGGTGAAGAGACTCCAAGACAGATGGTTTGACAGTGGAAGATGTGAGAATCAAAATTCTGGCTCTTTAAACTACACCAACAACCTGGGTATGGTGAGAGGATTAAACTCTCCTGTAAACGATTGGTGTCATGATCTTCTCAGTTAACTGAAGGATGGTGAACTCTGTATGCACTAAGGGTCAATTAATTCATTGTATAAAACATATACAGTAGGGGTTTAGCACTTAATTCTCTTGGGAACCCGCAGAAAGGGGCAGCACTGTGCAAAGCTGCCAGAAACTCAGCTGGAGTCCACAAAGGCTCCCAGGGCTCAGCTGGGATACAAGTGTAAACAGCGAGTGAGTGAGGAGCGTCCAGAAGGGAGAAGGTAAGCTGTGACTCTAGATCTGCTGAACTGAATAAGGTCAAGAAAATAGCACCACTGGAAATTTCTAGAGAATTTAATCTCTGCAGAGCCCTAACAAGCAAAACATGCCACTTGTCATACTAAATGTCTTCCTAACAAAACCTTCATCTTCATCTTTTCTATGTAATTTTTTTCCAATTTAAAATTATCCTGGAATTACAAAAACCATCTTTTGAGGGTCATAGATATTCAGATTGGAATTGAATTGAAATCTTACAATGAATCTGGGGAGATTTGACATGTAAATTACAATATACAAATCATCTATAAATATATATACTGATTTAGGGCTTTATAATGTATTATAATAAAACTTTATGTCTTCACAAATAAATAAAGATAGCTACCTACTGTTTAATGGGTACTTACTATGTGTTAAGCTCTTCACATATGTGACTGAACTTTCACAAAACTGCAAGTTTAGCATTATGGTCACCATTAGATAAGGTGAAACAGAGATAAGGCAAAATCAGAGAAGGAAACAGGTGAAGAGACTCCAAGACAAATGGCTTGACAGTGGAAGATGTGAGAATCAAAATTCTGGCTCTTTAAACTACACCAACAACCTGGGTATGGTGAGAGGATTAAACTCTCCTGTAAATGATTGGAGTCATGATCTTCTCAGTTAACTAAAGGATGGTGAATAGGTAGGACAACTCTGTATGTATCGAGGGTCAATTAATTCATTGTATAAAACATATACAGAAGGGGTTTAGCACTTAATTCTCTTGGGAACCCGCAGAAAGGGGCAGTACTGTGCAAAGCTGCCAGAAACTCAGCTGGAGTCCACAAAGGCTCCCAGGGCTCAGCTGGGATACAAGTGTAAACAGCGAGTGAGGAGCATCTGGAAGGGAGAAGGTAAGCTGTGACTCTAGATCTGCTGAACTGAATAAGATCTAGAAAATAGCACCACTGGAAATTTCTAGAGAATTTAATCTCTGCAGACCCCTAACAAGCAAAATGCAATTGGCCAATCTGAAGGCTCTTTCCATATTATAAATCTAGCACAACATTTTAAGAAAGATATTTAATTTCATTTTGTAGGAAAAGATCCACGATCATCTTAAATGGGAAAACCACATCCAATAAACTGACATTAGTTTCAGGAACAAGGGCATATGTTATTGCCGCGTGCTCACAGTGGAACAATGAGGGCCTGGAGCCAGCTGCAGTCCCGAGCAGTCCCCTAAGTAGAGGCGCCTGGCTGCTCCTCCTGGGGACTGTGGGCCTTCCCCACCTGCTTGGGTCCAGCTTGAAGGAGATGTTCATTGTCTCCCAGGCATGTCGTGACCCAGGCTCACAGGTAGGCACAGATCCGCTCCAACTGCCAGGGGTTCGCGTTGCTCAAGAACAGTAGCTCCTTTTTCCCTTCTTCGGTATGAGCTAGAATGGCGTCAAACACAGATAAGTGTCAGTTTCTTCCTGCTGCGCTGTGTCCCGGAAAGTTCTGGGAGTCAGAGGCTACCATATCCAGATTAGGTTCTGATGTAATTAGTCTTCCCCAAGAGAACTCGCTTCTAATCCTTTATCCCAATAAGCTATTCTTTTGTCCTCTTTTGTTTCTTTTATACTTCTCCAATCCAGCATCTATCTGTTCCCCACATTCCAAGTGCATCTTCTGGACTTCAAGACTTGTCACATGTCCCAACTCCCCTAGGGATCTTTCTGTTGTGCCTCCCACCTTGCCAAGCTGCAGCTACTTTCATACTCGTCCATCTGCTCCTGCAGTGACCCATTCGCATTCCTGCTACTTTTCTCTCATCTAGGCTACAGTGGCCACTACTCTTCTCCGTCCCCCTCACACCCAGAGGTGAGGTCAACGAACAGCTGAGATGCTTTCAGTCAAGGTGGATGAAATATGGTATGTAAGAGTTAATTTTTGTACATATACTAGAATAGGTATGGCAAAGACTTGGTTTGGTGCTAGGGTAGCCTCTCCCACAAGAGGAATTATTCTGTGGGTGTCCCAGCACGCCAGACTCTCAACTGAAATTTACTGAAACAATAAATGCAACAAAGAAAGTATACCAGCAAGCCAAACACCTGGAAGGTCAGCCCAGCAGCCAGACGTGGGCCTTGCCTCATCTTTTGCGTGAACATTTTATTCTGGATAATACAAAAATTTAGGGACAGAATCTCTTTTGTGAATGAAACCTTAACCCCTCCCACCCACCTTTCTGTATCATGTTATCAGTCAGAAAGAAGTCAAGAAAAGGAAAAAAAGATGAAGTACAAATTACAGGCTGCTGTTGAGGGGAGAAGGGATCAAGGCTTGATTCAGCGAGAGTCTCCTGTGAGCACGAAGCCATGACAGGAAAAAGTAAACAACTGACCTTTCTCATGTTGAAGCCAACTGTTCTCCAAGTAATATTGCATGCAACTTTCAAATTCCTTTGGGTTGTAGTTGGAAACCAGGATGGGAATAAAGGGATCCAGTGCATCAAATCCTTCCTAGAGAAGAAAAGGGACAAAGAAACAGTATTAGTTAAGAGACAGATGAGCAGAGGGAAAGATTCTACTTGAGCACTTTGAAGGCAAGGTTTCCTCACTGCTACCTTGACTTACACAGGACTCTACATGTAGTGGTTGACTACTTTGCTCTACGTGGCCAAAATATTCATGTATTTATCTGTCGGAGTCTTATTCTTTGCCCAGGATGGAGTGCAGTGGCACACTCATGATCACTGCAGCCTGGACCTGCTGGGCTCAAGCTATCCTTCCACCTCAGCCTTCCAAACAGCTGGAACTATAGGCACATGCCACCACGCCCAGATAATTTTTGGATTTATTGTAGAGATGAGGTCTCTCCAATTTGCCCAGGTTGGTCTCAAATCCCTGGACTCAGGCAATTCTCTTGCCTCAGACTCCCAAAGTGCTGGGATTACAGACTTGAGCCACCACACCCAGTCCCACAAATATATTCCAAAAAGAGAGGTTTGTGGCTGGGCACGGTAGCTCACACTTATAATCCCAGCACTTTGGGAAGTCGAGGTAAGAGAATTGCCTGGACCCACGGGTTCAAGACCAGCTTGGGCAACTTGGTGAGATCTCATCTGTACAATAAATCAAAAAATTAACCGGGCGTGGTGGCACATGCGTGTAGTTCCAGCTACTTGGAAGGCTGAGGCGGCAGCACTTTGGAAGGCCAAGGCAGGAAAACTGCTTGAGTCCAGAAGTTCAAGACTAGCCTGGGCAACAGAACAAGACCATGTCTCTACAAAAAAAATAAGTAAATAAAATAACCAGGGCATGGTGGTGCATGTCTACAGTCCCAACTATTAGAGGGGATGGAACAGAAGGATTGTCTGAGCCTGTGAGGTTGAAGCTGTGGTGATCTGTGAAGGTACCACTGTACTGCAACCTGGGTGACAGAGACGCTGACTCTAAAATAAATACATAAATAAAATTAAATTAAATTAAAAAAAATAATGCTTGAGGAGGGGAATGCCACTGGTCTGAGCACACTCATTTTCTGGACAGTTCTGACTTTTGGAACAGACATACACTCAAAAACAGAAAATAAATAAAATTAACAATGAGAAAAAAGACCCTAAATGGAACAGAAACAGTAACCAATGAATCAATCAAACTATATTTTAGATTTTAAATATAACATTAAAAAGGGCAAGAGGGAACAAAGCCAAGTAACTTCTGAACAGAGTATTTAGAGTATAGACCCTTAGACTAAAGACAAAAACTAATTAGTCGTTTCTTTTTCACAGAGTCAAGGGTTAGCCAACCTGAAACCACTTTTAACATATTCTAGGACTGAGCTAAGAGGTAAATATATTGTGGTTATGGAGAGCAGATTTCTTTTTCTGAGTTGGAGTCTTACTCTGTCACCTAGGCTGGAGGGCAGTGGCACGCTCCTGGCCACTGCAGCCTCGACCTGATGGGCTCCGGCAATCCTTCTGCCTCAGCCTTCCAAGACCTCATCTACAGGCACTCACTACCCTGCCCAGTTAATTTTTGATTTATTGTAGAGACGAGATCTCACCAAGTTGCCCGGGTGGGTCTCGAACCCTCAGGCTCAGGCAATCCTCTCCACTTGGCCTCCCAAAGTGCTGGGATTACAGGCTGAGTCACTGAGCCCGACCCAGATTTCTTATTGTATGTAGATGAGAGTTACAGAAACAGAGAGGGGGAAGGACAGTTGAATGTTGTGACGTGAGCACAGAACTGGGAGCATCAGTGTGAACTCATGGCTTTTGAATATGATTAGAGAAACAGACATAGGTATATGCACATATAAACATATGTATGAACACAGTTCATGTATACACATGCATGCACATATGAACATATACATGAATATTACATGCATCTAATTACTAGCTTTACTTGAGGCTAGGAAAAATGACACCCCAGTAGCAGTGAGTACATTGAGCACTCAGGTCTTGGTTTCTAAATACCATTCTCTCTAAATCAAACCAATGCTCTTTGCAGACATGGGTGATTCCAGGGTTGGGCACAGAAAGTACAAAGAATCTAGAACATATTTTTGTGCCAAAAAGTAAAGAAGAGCTAAAAGAATGATGGGGTCATATCAAAAGGATACAGAAGTCAGCTTGAGGAAGCTTCTAAGGTAATTTGAGCATCAAAATAAAAAATTAGAAAATAATATTTTTTTTTTGACAGAATCTCACTCCAGCCCAGGCTGGCAGGCAATGGCATGCTCACAGCCACAGCTCATGTAATCCTTTTGCCCCAGCCTTTCTTTCTTTTTTTTTTTTAAGTTGGAATCTCACTCTGTCACCCAGGCTGGAGTGCAGTGGCACACTCAGTGCCACTGCAGCCTTGACCTGCTGGGTACGGGTGATCCTTCTGCCTCAGCCTTCCAAGTAGATGTAAAATACAGGTGTGTGCCACCACGTCCAGCTAATTTTTTTGATTTACTGTAGAGATGAGGTCTCGTCAAGTTGCCCAGACTGGTTTTTTTTTTTTTTTGAGTTGGAGTCTCACGCTGTCGCCCAGACTGGAGTGCAGTGGCCGCTCCTGGCCACCGCAGCCTTGACCTGTTGGGCTCCGGCGATCCTTCCGCCTCAGCCTTCCGAATAGCCGGAATTACAGGCATGTGCTACCATGCCCAGTTGATTTTTTGATTTATTGTAGAGATGAGGTCTCGCTGCCCAGGCGGGTATTGAACCCGCGGGCTCAGGCAATCCACTCTCCTCAGTCTCCCAAAGGCGCTGGTTTTACAGGCTGAGCCACCGAGCCCGGCTTTCAGACTGGTTTTAAACCCATGGGCTCAGGCAATCCTCTCACCTCGGCCTCCCAAATTGCTAGGATTATAGGCGTGAGCTACTGTGCCCAGCCATCACCCCAGCCTTTCAAGTAGCTAGCACCACAGGCACACACCACTATGCCCAGCTAAATTTTTTTATTTATTATGGAGGTGAAGCCTTGCCATGTTGCTCAGGCTCATCTTGAACTCCTGGGCTCAGGCAATCCTTTCACCTTGGCTTCACAAAGTGCTGGGATTACAGGCATGAGACACCACATCTGACCCTATGGCAGAGCTTTAGAAATTAAAAAAAGGATGATGGGGTCATATCAAAAGGATACAGAAGCCTTTTGGGACAACCCCTTCGGTTCCCCTCCCACTGTGGGAGGTTTTCTGCCCTCTCAATAAATCCTGCTTTCAGAAAAAAAAAAAGAAGAAATTTGGTGTTCTGGGGGAAAAAAGATAGTATAAGATATAGAACCCAGTAAGTAAGAATCATATGTTCACACTGAAACAAATAAATATAATAAGGGAGAGGAAAATGTTTCTACTTAAAATAGAAAGCCACATAATATAGTTAGTGGAATAGGTGGAGCTAGAACATCTCCAGTTGACCATTATCATAATAATGACTGATTTAGGAAAGAATCACTAGTCTTTGAGTACTAAAACTAGTAGGTAGAAGTATGACAAGTAACATGATCTTTGTCTAGTCTTGAACTATATTCCACAAGATACTTATTACTTATAAAGGCAAAATAGCAACTTTACTGAGGAGAAACCAGATGGACATCATCTCAGTTAACTATTCAAACTGATCACCAGTAACAGGAGAAAGTGATATCATGTGCTTCCTGACAGGATGCAATCACTAAGACACATCACTTCTTTTTTTTTTTTTTTGAGTCAGTCTCACTCTTCATCCAGACTGGAGTGTACTGACACGCTGCTCACGACCACTGCATCCTTAACCTGCTAGGCTCAGGTGATCCTTCTGCTTCAGCCTTCCAAGGAGCTGGAATTATAAGCATGTGCCACCATGCCTGGCTTATTTTTCTTGAATTATTGTAGAGATGAGGTCTCAGCAAGTTGCCCAGGCTCGCTTCAAAACCCTGGGCTCAGGCAATCCTCTTGCCTCTGCCTCCCAAAGTACTGGTATTACAGGCATGAGCTACCACTACCGGCTTCACATCATTACTTCTAATATCATTCCTATCCAGGAGGAAATATCAGGCAACCCCCAAAATAATCCACAAAATACCTGGCAAGTACTTTTCAAAAATATAAATATTAAGGTTATAAAAGACTAAGTCTGAGGAACTGATTAAAGGAGACCATAAAAACATGACATTTTGATGTAACATATTATTCAGAATTTCCTTTTCCATGAAGGATACTGGGATAGTTGGCTAAATTAGAATAAGTTCCACAGATTAGGTAAAAGTTTTTTGTTTTTTGTTTTGAGTCGGAGTCTCACTCTGTCACTCAGGCTGGAATGCAGTAGCACACTCACAGCCACCGCAGCCTCGACCTGCTGGGCTCAGATGATTCTTCCACCTCAGCGTTCCAAGTAGCTGGAACTACAGGTACACACTACCATGCCTGGCTAATTATTTTATTTGTTGTGGAGATGAGGTCTTGCCAAGTGGCCAGGCTGGTCTTGAACCAGCAGGTTCAGGCAACCCTCTCCCGCTGGCTTCCCAAAGTGCTGGGATTATAGTTGTGAGTCACCATGCCTGGCCAGTTAATTGTATTTTCAATGTCAATTGATATAATGCAGTCAAAGTATTTTTTCTTTTTTTTGAGTTGGAGTCTCACTCTGTTGCCCAGACTGGAGTGTAGTGGCACGCTCCCAGCTACCGCAGCCTCCACCTGCTGGGCTCCAGCGATCCTTCCGCCTCAGTCTTCCAAGTAGCTAGAACTACAGGCGCGCGCTACTGTGCCTGGCTAATTTTTTGATTTATTGTAGAGATGAAGTCTCGCCAAGTTACCCAGGCAGGTCTTGTACCCACGGGCTCAGGCAATCCACTCACCTCAGCCTCCCAAAGCGTGGGATTACAGGCTGAGCCACTGAGCCCGGCTGCAGTCAAAGTATTATAAAAAATTTCAATCTCCTGATACTCATAATTGTGTTATATTATAACATCTTTGTTTTTAGGAAAAAGACATTAAAGAGGAGTCATGCCTGCAGGTTACTGTCATATATTGAAAAAAATAGGAAGAGAGAGAAGTTGATAAAGCAATTACAAAGTTAACATTTTAGAAATCGGAGAGAAGGCAATAAAGGAATAGGATTTCTCTCTAAGTCTGAGATAACATCAAAATAAATAAATTAGTAAGAAGACATCTCTAAAGATAGAATAATTATCTAAGAGAAACACATCTTGTTATGACTTGACCTTTCCCAGCAGTTCCTGGGGCAGATAGGCACTCCGGGGCTTAAAGAGAGACCCAGTCTGGCTCAAAGTCAACACAATGGCACCTCCATGCTGAAAGAAAGGAAAAGAGGCTGAGTTATAAAAAGCTGAAACAGACAGGAAATGTCATTTAATCATCTGCAGATTGTGTTTGTCATAGAATGTGACAGCAGTGCAGTCTAGCACAGTTAAATGGCAACTAAATTGGTTATTCTATATTTGGTTCTGACAATAAACTGCAGCATAATCTTAAAATCATGAAATAGTTTTGGTTCTCAAACTCTTTTCCAAAGATGGTAAGGAAATACAAAAAAACTTTAAATGACTGCAAGCAAAATACAATTAGGCCAATATTTAAAGAAAATGGTTTTGAATAAGCTTATTCCCATCAAGTGGAAAGATTAGAAACCAAATACAGAGATCTTACTCCTAACTTTGTAGTTATAGGAACTAAATAAGATAAAAGAACTTTCTGTCCAGAAAATTAGAGACTGGAAAGAATTAGCAATGAATTAGCAGAGTATGTTTAAATGGCAAACACAGGTCTTCCTGCCTGTGATAGGCATCACATGCACTTACCCAATCATTTTTCACCATTTTCCTCAGGTTGTGAATAAGTGCCAGTTCCTCTGGGGCAATCTGCATATTGAACAATGAAAGAGAGATGAGATCATGACCTGCTTTTCTAGCTGGTCCTCTGAGACAACTAATTGACAACAATAAAAAAAAATCTCCGACTACTATATAACTATAGGACCCAAAAGTACACCCTATGGGATAAGCCGCATGGCCGCTGGCCTGAGAACTGCCATGCTTCTGGAGATTTAACAGCAGTCACCAAGAGAGAAGACACCAAACCACCCACTTCCTTGATGCTTCTGATCTCTGCTTCACAGCTTCATTGTGAAAAGAGAACCAAAAGACAAACAATTAAGAAGGAAAGAAAACACAGCTTCTAGTTTCCTGCTCTTTCCTCAACCGTCTCCCTTGGCTTTCAGTGAATGGTGGAACTCATGGCATCAGCTTTTCCTTCTGATGCCATTTTTACTATATATCTGAATTCAAAAACTCCTAGGGCAAGAAAATATACTGTGTATGGTCTATGAGGCTAAGATCCAACTGCTGTTCCTGATGGAGCCAGAAATCAGAGAAAAGAGACGGAGAAATTCAGTATAACTACCAGGCTTTTATCTTCTTTTTTCAGAGTGGTCTTTCCCCAGAGAGCATTGATTCCATCCACGGCCACCAGGAGGTGGAAAATACCCAAAGAACTTTGCCTCTTTAGCTCTTTCAGCACAATCCCAACTGCATCTGTGGCGTTCCTCACCCGCGTTATACCCTGTGGAGAGAGACCGTGGCCTATGGGCTCCAAGAGGCCTATTCTGGTTATGACGTGGTACATGTTCAGTGTCTTTTCTTATACCTGGTCAACCACTTCTCCCAGAGGACTGCCTTTCTCAGTGCCTTCTCTCTTACTCCAGACATACTTCTCTTGAACTTTTATCTAAAAACAAGCAGACAAAATAAAAAACCAAAAAAAAAAAAGGCTACTTGGCTTAAAGGATGAACCCATCCCTTGAGAAGTTTGGAGATTAAAGTTAACAGGAGTCAGTTTTAATCTACTTTTCAGGTCTTGTAAGAGATCTCAGTATGGAAGTAAATGTTTTCTAACCCATTTCTGCTTGGAGCCTAGGGGAAAAAAACCACATGAAGGATTCTGGCTAAAAAGGTCTACAATGAACTTTCGAGTCTGAGTATTTTTTTTTTTTTTAGAAAGCAGGATTTATTGAGAGGACAGAAAAGCTCCCACAGTGAGAGGGGACCCAAGGGGGTTGCCTGTGTCGGCATTTTAAATAAGCTCCTAGGTGACCCAGAGTTGCTTTATACCCAGAGTTGAAAATCCTTGGTCTAGAGATCATATCCAAGAAGCACTGAGAACAATTTTACCAATACATTTCTAGTTCTGAAAAAATATCGGTTTTTTTGTTTTGTTTTTTTATTGAGATAGACTCTTACTATGTTGCCCAGGACAGAGTGCAATAATGTGATCATAGCTTACTGTAGCCTCAAACTCCTGGGTTCAAACAATCCTCCCACCTCAGCCTCCTGAGTAGCTTGGTTAATTCTGTTGTTGTTGTTGCTAGAGACAGGGTCTTGCTGTGTTGCTCAGGCTGGTGCCAAACTCCTGATCTCAAATTATCGTCCCACCTCAGACTCCCAAAGTGCCACAATTACAGGCCCCCAAAATATCTTTTTTTTTTGAGTTAGAGCCTCATTCTATGGCCCAGGCTAGAGTGCAGTGGCATGCTCATGGCCACCGCAGGCTCGACCTGCTGGGCTCAGGTGATCCTTCCACCTCAGCCTTCCAAGTAACTGGAACTATAGGCATGCGCCACCACGCCTGGCTAGTTTTTTTATTTTTTGTTGAGACAAGGTCTCACCAAGTTGCCCTGGCTGGTCTCGAACCCCAGGGCTCAGATAATCCTCGCACCTTGGCCTCCCAAAGTGCTGGGATTACAGGCTTGAGCCACCACGCCCAGTCCCCAAAATATCTTATCTGGAGAAAATAATGAATTGGAAATGTGCTTATGAGTGATGTGAGGCTGTACCTTGAAAAGTCAACGAATCAATCTGAAGTTTACCAATTTGAGAATCAAACTTTGCCACTTACAAAATGGGAACAGCTTACTACTGCCTTTGTATTTTACACAGATAACTGAGTTTCAAGTTGTGTACCCACTGTGTGCAAAATGTATGAAATAAATACAAAATGAAATAGTAATTCCAAACTACTGTATCAGTTCTCCATAGCCACCAGTATCAAGGCACAAAGAAGACAGAATCAATATGAAGACTATCTAGCACCAAACTTCTGGGAGTCGTAACCTGGTTGAGGAAGCGTTCATTCACAGTTTTGAAATTCTTCAGCCAAGTTGTAGCCTCTAAAGGTTGATCGAAGCGCTGTTTGTTGTAGGTGGACTGCAGAAGATCCCGGCAATTTTTTACCCAAAGATGAGCTAATAAAAAGGCACAAAAAAACAAAAACAGGTAAAAAGTGACAATATTTAGCTCAAAATACTTTATGCCTCTTTAAGTTACAGGAAATAACTTTTGTTTCAAATATGTTTCTTATAGTCTTCTTGCTTCAAGGGTCTACTTGTTTATCTGACCCATCTTAGACTTATCATTATCATTAGAGCCAATATCTACTGCATACCAAGCATTTTTTTTTTTGGAGCCAGAGTCTTACTCTGTCACCCAGCTGGAGTACAGTGGCACACTCATGGCCACCGCAGCCTCGACTACTGGGCTCAGGTGATCCTTCCACCTCAGCCTTCCAAGTAGCTAGAACCACAAGCATGTGCCACCAGACCCGCATAATTTTCTATTTATTGTAGAAACGAGGTCTTGCCATGTTGCTCAGGCTGGTCTCAAACACCTGAGCTCAGGCAATCCTACTGCCTCCACCTCCCAAAGTGCTGGGATTACAGGCTGAGCCACCACATCCAGCCTATATACCAAGTTGATTAAATATCACTTCTGTTTACTGGAAGTTTTTATTTATTTATTTATTTATTTATTTTGAGTTGGCATCTCACTCTGTCACCCAGGCTAGAGTACCATGGCATGCTCAAGGCCACTGTGTCCTCGACCTGCTGGGCTCATGGGATCCTTCTGCCTCAACCTTCCAAGAAGCTGGAACTACAGGTGTGTGCTACCACGTCTGGATAATTTTTTGATTTATTATTGAGATGACATCTCACCAAATTGCCCACGTTGGTCTTGAACCCCTGGGTTTAGGCAATCCTCTCGCCTCGGTTTCCCAAAGTGCTGGGATTACAGGCTTGAGACCCTACACCAGCCTACTGGCAGTTTATAAAATTAAGTCAGAAAATGTGGATGCATACAACACTAAACAAAAAGGGGTCACATTCAAAGTGTGGGGGTTAAGTTTTTAAGATTCACAGTGATTGGCTGGGCATGCTGACTCAAGCCTATAATCTCAGCACTTTGGGAGGCTGAAGTGAGAGGACTATCTGAGCTAAGGGGTTCAAGACCAGCCTGGGCAACTTGATGAAGTCTCATCTCTACAATAAATCAAAAAATAAGCTGGGCGTGGTAGTGCCCACCTGTAGTTCCAGCTACTTGGAAGGCTGAGTCGGAAGGACTGCCTGAGCCCAGCAGGTCAAGGCTGCGGTGGCTGTAAATGTGCCACTGCACTCCAACCTGGGAGACAGAGTGAGACTCTGACTCAAAAAAAAAAGGCTCACACTGACATATCTAGAATGATGATAAATAGTAAAAGGCTCTGTGAGTACTCAACATCATTAACTGATGGAAAAAAAAACCCATGGTGATCTCTGAGGCAGGAGTTTGTGCTCCTGGACACTAAATACCAAAATAAGGACTGGTTAGTATCAAAGCAGAAAGTTTTCACTGAATTTCCCCTTGTCACATTTACTTCATCTTGTAATCTGCTTGGCACTAACATAATGAAGAAATCATGATGGACTAGCACAGACTGCTCTGCACCTGGAGCAAAGGCTTTCCTTTTAGCCACCAGAGCCCTGTTAGAAAACTGAAGCCATGGGCTACCACTGTAACGGGATCACTGAACCTGACACGGAGACGAAAAGACAGGAAGCTCTCACCATCTGGAATATGCAGTATCAGCCAGTCCTGTTTTGCACAGAAATGAATAACATGGCAAAGACTGAGGGTTTTTCCCGTTCCCTTCTCCCCATCTAAAGTACGTGTTGTCAAAGAAAACATCACCAGAAGAGATACGTCTACTGCTAATAGTAATGTTGCATTTCTTCTTTTCTCTCATTTGAAGGGAGAAAGCATTAGCTCAGGAGGGCCCAGGCAGGCAGGAAAGGATACAGAGAAGATATCGCACAGCTGGATGAGCAAAATTGGTGTTTTTCAGGTAATGCAGAAGCTCTAGGGCTGGTTTCCTTACCATCAGGCAAGCTTCATGTAATGTTTTCACCTGATAAACCAGGGAGGAGAAAGGAGAGGGTGAGGTGTGGAACTTCTAGCCAGTTCTTGGTACATACACTTTGCCTAAAATGGCAAACAAAAACATCAAATTGCATGTCTTCAATTTATTCAGAGGCTAGGCTGGTATTGGATTGAAAAATCTGAAAAAGCTGAAATATGTTATTTCACACCAGGTAACATACTAGTCAGCTTTTGATTATTACGGAAGCCTAGATATTACGGAAGCCTAGATATTATATAAGTTAACTGAAATCTATAAATAATCCAGACATCTCATAACATTACTATGTATAACACAGGGTCAATGTACATATGAAAAGCACATAAAATGCTTGACAAAGCATCTGACACATGGCAAGCATTCAATAAACATTCATTCTTTAAAATTTATTTTTAGTTAATTCTTACGACTATAACCACCTGACTTTTCTCTAGAACTACAAACATAGTAGCTCAGGAGCAGGTGTGACCAGCTGCCCCACAACTATGAGGCCACACCTCACACAACCAGTCCCTGACATGTAGAGTTTATATGTTTGTTCCCCTTTTGTAGCCATAATACTTTGGGGGGAAAATATGGGAAGATTTGATATGTGTATATGTGTGTAAAAGCGATTTTCTTTTTCATTTTTTTTTTTTCTGCATTGTAGCCTCACTCTATCTCCCAGACTGGGGTACATTGGCACACTCATGGCCACTGCAGCCTTGACCTGCTGTGCTCAGGCAATCCTTCTGCCTCAGCCTTCCAAGAAGCTGGAACTACAGGTGTGTACCACAACGTCCAGCTAATTTTTTGATTTATTGTAGAGACGAGGTCTCGTCAAGTTGCCCAGGCTGGTATCAAACCAGGGGCTCAGGCAATCCTCTCATCTCAGACCCCCAAAGTGCTGGGATTATAGGTGTGAGCCAACATGCCCAGCCAAAAGTGATTTTCAAGGAAAGTATTTAGTTATGTAAACTGATAAGAATAAATATTTGCCTGGTGCAAGTAGCTCATGCCTGTAATCCCAGCATTTTGGGGCACGGAGGCAAGAGGATTGCCTAAGCTCAAGGGTTTGAGGCCAGCCTGGGCAACTTGACGAGACCTTATCTATACAATAAACAAAAAATTAGCCAGGTATGGTGGCACACACCTGTGGTTCCAGCTAACTAGAAGGCTGAGGAGGAAGGATCGCCTGAACCCAAAAGGTCGAGGCTGCTGTGGCCATATATGTGCCACTGCACTCTAGCCTGGGTGACAGAATAAAACTCCAACTCAATAAATAAATAAATATTTAATAAATTCTAGTAAGTATTTTAGATAAAGTTTAAAATAGTGTTGATAAGCTGGGCTCGGTGGCTCAGCCTGTAATCCCGCGCTTTGGGAGGCTGAGGTGAGTAGACTGCCTGAGCCTGCAGGTTTGAGACCCGCTTGGCCAACTTGGAGAGACCTCATCTCTACAATAAATCAAAAAATTAGCCAGGCGTGGTAGCACGTGCCTGTAGTTCCAGCTACTTGGAAGTCTGAGGCAGAAGGATGGCAGAGCCCAGTAGGTCGAGGCTGCAGTGCCCGGGAGCGTGCCACTGCACTCCAGTCTGGGCAACAGAGTGAGACTCCAACTAAAATAAAAAAAAATAGTGTTGATAGTAAAAAAAAAAAAAAAAAAAAAATCCTAACAAGTTAATTGGATTGTCGTAGGAATTTACAGGTAAGGCTAAACTCAATGGAAAGTGGAGTCTTCAATATGCCATATTAGGTGATATGACAGTACTAAAATACACAAACAATGGTGAGGGAGTTGGCTTTCAAATAAATGGAAATTACAAAAGGAAAAAGAATAAGTCATTCCAGAGCACAGGTGGATAAAGCACTCTGAAACAAGTTGAAATGGTAAATTAAGGATAGAATCTCACAATCCTGAAGCTAAAGATTGTACTGGAAACTTCTTGGAGCAGTTTAAAATGCTATTACTGATGATTTCTTCTGGTAGTATGCTATTCCCAATCTTAAGAAAATTTTTGATGACAAGGCTGTCTAGGGTCTTGAAATAACTCCTTTACTGGTGTTCTGTTAGTTCCTTATTAATCTAATTTCCTGAAATAAATCACAATAAAGAAATGGCATCCTTTGGTTCCTAAACTAAAAATCACCTGCACAGCAAGTTTGATAGTTTATTAAGAAGGAAGAACCAGGCGTGGTGGCTCACGACTGTAATCCCAGCACTTTGGAAGGTGGAGGCGAGAGGACTGCCAGAACTCAGGGGTTCAAGACCAGCCTGATGAGACCTTGTCTCTACAATAAGTAAAAAATTAAAAAAATAAATTGACTGGGCATGGTGGCACATGCCTGTAGTTTCAACGACTTGGAAGGCTGAGGTGCAGGGGTACGCTCACGGCCACCCCAGCATTGACTTGCTGGGCTCAGGTAATCCTGCCTCGGCCTTCCAAGTAGCCAGGACTACAGGATTACCACGCCTGGCTAATTTTTGATTTATTGTAGAGAAGAGGTCTCACCAAGTTGCCCAAGCTGGTCTTGAACCCGCGGGCTCCGGAAATCCACTAACCTCGGCCTCCCAAAATGCTGGGATTACAGGCTGAGCCACTGAGCCCGGTCCATAAATTCAATGGCTACATACCAATCTAAGATTCTACTCGTTGGGTTGAGATTATGGCCAAAAAACATTTTCTGAAAATCCATGAGGGCAAATAAGAATCATGATGCACTGGGCGTGGTGGCTCAGCCTGTAATCCCAGCACTTTGGGAGGCCGAGGTGAGTGGATTGCCTGAGCCCAGGGTTTGAGACCTGCCTGGGCAACTTGGCGAGACCTCATCTTTACAATAAATCAAAAATTAGCCGGGCGTGGTAATGTGCGCCTGTAGTTCCAGCTACTTGGAAGGCTGAGGTGGAAGGATCACCAGAGCCCAGTAGGTGGAGGCTGCAGTGGCCGTGAGCGTGCCACTGCATTCCAGTCTGGGCGACAGAGTGAGACTCCAACTCAAAAAAAAAAAAGAATCATGATGCATCTAATCAAACTACTGACTCTATTCAGATCAGGAATATATTATGATTTTGATTTGGTGTTAGGATATTAACTATGTTTTTATAATATTTTGCCAAGGCAAAATTAAGTTGAATTAAATATTATTTGAATGCCAAAGTTTCCAGAAACTTGTTGGATAACACAAAGAAAAAAATTGTTGATATTGTTGATTCATATAAGAATATTTACCTGGTTCCAAAAAGGATTTAAGTGGTTAACAGAGGTAAGCATTAGCTTAAAGTAACTATATTATTCACAAAAGAGAATCAACAGCTGAATTTCTGTTTTCAGATTCAAATTTCATCTTCTATAGTTTACTGCTCATTCAGCATCATCCTTTAGCTATCAGCTGGTTGCATTCTGAGCTCCCCCCAGTTCTGTTCCGTGCTTTGTGTACCTGCATTACAAAATGAGGAGGAAGGCCATGGGGAAATACAGTCTTCAAATCCTGAATGGGGATGTTGTAGTGCTGACCCTCATGCTGTTCCCCATGCTTGGCCTAGGAAAGAAAGGTACAAATAGGTATAATGGGGACACAAACACAGTGACCAATATTTTATTTATTTTTTTGAGTCGAAGTCTCACTCTGTTGCACAGGCTGGAGTACAGTGGCATGCTCACAGACATCACAGCTCAACCTGCTGGGCTCAGGCGATCCTTCTACCTCAGCCTTCCAAGTAGCTGGAACTATAGGCATTCATCACCATGCACCACTAATTTTTTGATTTATTGTAGAGATGGGGTCTCATGAAGTTGCCCAGGCTGGTCTCGAACCTGTAGGCTCTGGCAATCCTCTCCCCTTGACCTCCCAAAGTGCTGGTATTATAGGTGTGAGTCACTGTGCCAGATCATTTTTTTAATCTTAGACAAAAATGTTGATTGCTGTCCCCAGATCCAGTGTACATATAAAGATGGTGGCCTAAATAAAGCCAGATGCTCAGCAAGGTAAACCCTAGATGTGAGGCTAGAAGTGGAGACAATTCTTGCCATCTGGATTCTTCTGTGTTGTGTATAGAGATGCTCTAGTCATGTGACAAGATCATCTGCATGTTGCTGTTTGCATAGAAACCCCAGAGGACTTGACAAATAAAGGGACTACAAATACAGAGAAAGCTGAAAGACACATCAGTGACTTCATTCATTTATTCTATTTCATTTAGTGCTGTGACAATAGGTGAATGTAAAGATACTTAAAACACACCGTTGGAATGGTGTTTTGGGTGATGGGTTAATTTTTTGGTCTTCTACACAGCCTCTATTAAGATGGGAAGACCAGCCAGGCGCTGTGGCTAACGCCTGTAATCCCAGCACTTTGGGAGATGGAGGCAAGAGGATTATTTGACCGCAGGAGTTTGAGACCAGCTTGGGCAACTTGGTGAGCCCTCGTCTCTAGAATAAAAAAATTAGCCAGATATGGTGGCGTGGACCTGTAGTTCCAGCTACTTGGAAGGCTGAGGTTGAAGGACTGCCAGAGTCCAGCAGGTCAAGGATGCAGTGACTGTGATCATGCCACTGCATTCCAGCCTAGGCAACAGAGTGAGACTCCAACTCAAAAAAAAAAAGGGAAGGCTGAGAGTAGGGGAATAGGGGAAGGGCCAAAAACGCTGTTGGTTCCCTTCACATTAAAGCAGACCACAAACTAATTTCAAGTTACTTTTTTTTTTGAGTTGGAATCTCACTCCATTGCCCTGGCTGGAGTGCAGTGGCACACTCATAGCCACCCCAGCATCAACCTGCTGGGCTCAGGCGATCTTTGCACCTCTCAGCCTTCCAAGTAGCTAGAACTACAGGCATGTGCTACCACACCCAGCTAATTTTTTATTTTATTGTAGAGACGAGGTCTCCCCAAGTTGCCCGGGCTGGTCTCAAATCTGCGGGCTCAGGATATCCAATCGTTTTGGCCTCCCAAAGTGCTGGGATTACAGGCTGAGCCACTGAGCCCGGCCTTCACAAACTAATTTCATTTATAAGAGGCGGCAACAATGCTAGTGAAAGAGAAAAGAAATTAATATCCAATCTAACAGAATCTGAACTACAAAGTGCAACACCAGACACTGCTAGAATCCTGGCTTTTGCAGACGAACTTCACTTTGATACTGCTCTTCTTATAACAAATCAAGTTAGGCTGGGCGCAGTGGCTTAGCCTATAATCCCAGCACTTGGGAGGCCAAGGCTAGAGGACTGCCTGAGCGCGGGGGTTCGAGACCAGCCTGGGCAACTTGGTGAGCCCTCGTCTCTACAACAGATCACAAAAATTAGCCAGGCGTGGTGGTGTGCACCTGTTGTTCCAGCTACTTGGAATGCTGAGGCGGAAGGATCGCCTGAGCCCAGCAGGTCAAGGCTGTGTGGCCATGAGCAGCGTGTCACTGCACTCTAGCCTGGGAGACTCCAACTCAAAAAAAAAAAGTTAGTTCCCTCCTCTGACACTGCGAAATCCATTTACAAAGGTGGAAAATAGTACCAGATTAGTTTCTGAGTTTGGTACCTTCCCTGCTGTGTGATTTGGGTCAAGTAATTTAATTTCTTTAGGCTTCTCCATACCAGAAGTTAGGGGCTATGGCTTCTCACCTATTCTGTAAATAGTTTTATTGGAACATTTTCACACCTACTTGTTTACTGCAGAGTTGAGTTCCTGTGACAGAGACCATTTCAGCCCATCAGCATTAAAAATTTACAACTTGGTTTTTTAAGGAAAAATGTACCACCCAACATACAATAAGATCAATAATAATTGTTCAACTTACTTATAAGGAATTGACCTTAGTAAGTATTTACTATGCACCTACTCTATGCTCAACAAAATCCATGACCCTAGGTGACTCAAGTAGTAAAGATTAAATCAGAACAGACGTGGACTGACCTGAAGCTTTATGGTACCACAGTATCAAACAGGGACAAGGAAGCCCTGGGTTCCAGAGTGTTATCTTAGGTGCATTGTCTGACTATTTGGAAATCTGCTTAGCTTCCTAAATTTCCGTTTTCCTGATAAGTAAGATGAGGATAGCAACATAAATTAAATGCCCTGAGAAACACTATATATACATTAGCAACTTACTGGGTCACTCTCATTGGTGCGGTAAATAGCTCTGAGACTCTCAACAGGAACCTGGTCATTTAGGTGAGCAGCAATACTTTGGGGTGCCTGGGTCCCCGTGTGCAAAAAACGTCCAGGGTCCAACTATAAAAGAAAACATTTTAGTGTTTTGGAATTATCAGGTCCTTCATACTTCCTATAACACTGAGAATGTGACCCCTGTCTGTACCAGGAATATCACTAATATACATTTTAATTCTATGTAAAAAGGATCCTTGTTATTATTAATATAATCACTAAGTCCAATGACACTACTCCTACTCTATATCTGTTCCAGCTTGTGTACTGCCATAGTAGGGCTCTGTCCCATATGGAAACACAATTCCATTAGAGATCATTAAGGAGCACATGTAGCATAGCCATTACAACCAAAACCAAGAAAGTTTTTTGATTGCCCTTGCTCAGTGATTAACAGTTGCCAATACTGTGTACCTCTCAGCTGTGACAGTCACCTCAGTTATCAGATAAAGGCAATGTTTGTCACTATTTGATGGCTATAATTATACTCTCTGTAACAATTTCCTGGTAGCTGTGCCCTGGAATAAAGTCTCTTTCTGTAGAGACATGTAATGAGGGAGTAGGTAAAGCATCAGCTAAGTGACAGTAAACTGCTCAGTAGACAACTTGGTGAACTATACACTGAAACCTCTGGAACGGGGTGAGAGGAAGGATGGGATTTCAGGAGACAAATCTGAGAAAATGTTAAGTGAAGAACCCCAAAAGTGAGCTTAGGGATAACAGGCCTTATATAGAAAATGAAAAGATGCCAGTTGCAAAACAGATTAGGGTATAAAGCCAGGAGAAGTAGAAGTACAGGGATATGAGAGAGGAATAAAATGAAGGAATTGCTTAACAAATCAACAGGTAATATTTAAATTACCTATATTTATATTTAGTCTCACTGAGCAGCTTCTTGAGTACAGATAAGTATATTTTTGTACCATTCCTCTCAATACTTATACCTGTTTGATGAGACCTTAAACTCCATACGTCAATTCTATTTTTTTTTTTGAGTCAGAGTCTTACTCTGTCACCCAGGCTGGAGTACAGCGGCATGCTCATGGCTACTGCAACCTCGACCTGTTGGGTTCAGGCAATCCTTCTTTCTCAGCCTTCCAAGTAGCTGGAATCACAGGCATGCGCCACCACACCCAGCTAATTTTTTTATTTATTGTAGAGATGAGGTCTTGCCATGTTCCTCAGGCTGGTGGTCTCAAACTCCTGGGCTCGGACAATCCTCTTGTCTCCGCCTCCCAAAGTGCTGAGATTACAGGCAAGAGCCACAGCGCCCGGCTTCTTTTTTTTTTTTTGAGTTATAGTCTCACTCTGTTGCCTAAGCTAGAGTGCAGTGGCACACTCACAGCCACCCTAGTGTCGACCTGCTGGGTTCAGTTGATCCTTCTGCCTCAGCCTTTCAAGTAGCTGGAAATACAGGTGCATGCTACCACACCCAGCTAATTTTTAGATTTATTGTAGAGATGAGGTCTCGTCAAGTTGCTCAGGCTGTTCTAAAATCTGTGGGCTCAGGCAATCCCCTCACCTCGGTCTCCCAAAGTGCTGGGATTACAGGCTGAGCCATCGAGCCTGGCCATACCCCACATCTTTAAGATAAGTAAATTAAAAAATGGATGAGTGTATACCTGTACATTAAAGCACCAATAGCCAAAGTTCTCCAGAGCACTTGATTCTAGACATAATAAATCCATCTAAAACCAAGAAACCAGGCTAGGTATGGTGGCTCATGCCTGTAATCCCAGCACTTTGGGAGGCGGAGGCAAGAGGATTGCCGGAGCTCAGGGATTCGAGACCAGCCTGGGATACATGGTGAGACCTCGTAACTACAATAATTCAAAAAATTAGCAGGGCTTGGTGGCATACCCCTGTAGTTCCAGCTACTTGGAAGGCTGAGGCAGAAGAATTGCCTTAGCACAACAGATCGAGGCTATTGTGGCAATGATCATGCCACTGCACTCTAGCCTCGGCAAGAGAGTGAATACATAAATACATAAAATAAAATAAAAACAAGAAATCTACCTAAAGATAGATACCAAACATTCAGATCAGTTAGAACTCACCTTATGGACCCTGGAGATGAGCCTTGTTATTTCTTTCAGCATTGTCCTTGCGCTCTTAAAAAACAGTGAAAAGGTAAGCTATAAACGGGAAAAGATATTTGCAACAGGTAAAACTGGGAATGGATTAATATCTAGATTATATAAAGAATGCCTACAAATTGATAAAGAAGATTGAGTAAAAGATATGAACAGGCATTTCACAGAAAACAAAACACAAACCCATGAAATGATGTTCAACCTCATTACAAATCAGGAAAATGCAAATTCAAACCATCACAAGGAGATACCATTCACAACCACCATACTGGGAACAATTTAAAAGTCAGACAACAACAAATGTTAAAGACAATTGCTAAAACGAAACATGTTGTGAAACATTGGGATCTTTTATGTACTGTTGATTGAGTGTAAATACAAATATCTTAGAAAAGAATTTTGGCATTATCTTTGCAAAGCTGAAAATGTACAAGCCTACGACCCAGATATTCTACTCCTTGGTACTTATTGGAAAAACACTTATACATTATACTGGCCAATACATATAAAAATGTTCATAGTAGCCGGGCTCGGTGGCTCAGCCTGTAATCCCGCGCCTTTGGGAGGCTGAGGTGAGTGGATTGCCTGAGCCCGTGGGTTCTAGACCCGCCTGGGCAGCGAGACTTCATCTCTACAATAAATCAAAAAATCAGCCAGGCGTGGTAGCACACGCCTGTAATTCAGGCTACTTGGAGCCCAGCAGGCCGAGGCTGCGGTGGCCGGAAGCGGCCACTGCACCCCAGTCTGGGCAACAGAGTGAGACTCCAACTCTTAACAATAACAACAAAAAATGTTCATTGTAGGCCAGGCACAGTGGCTCACTCCTATAATCCAAGCAATTTGGGAGGTTAAGGCGAGAGAATTGCCTGAGCCCAGGGGATCGAGACCAGCCTGGGTAACTTGGCGAGACTTCATCTCTACAATAAAATGAAAAATTAGCCAGGTGTGGTAGCACACACCTGTAGTTCCGGCTACTTGGAAGGCTGAGGCAGGATTGCCAGAGCCCAGCAGGTCGAGGCTGCGGTAACTGGGAGTGTGCCACTGCACTCCAGTCTGGGCAACAGAGTGGGACACAAATACACACACACACACACACACACACACACACACACACACACACACAAAAAAGTTCACAGTAGTAGAGTACAAATTATCGAAAAACTGTAAAACCTCAAATGTTCACTGAAAGAACAGTGGAGATATAGTCATACAAGGGAATACCATAACACAGTAAAAAGAAAAAAATTCATTTACACGGATCAAAATGGATCAATCTCAAAAACTAACATAGTGAAAACTATTATATTACATACTATAAAATTTTTTTTTTAAGTCAGAGTCTCACTCTGTTGCCTAGGCTGGAGTGCAATGGCACACTCATGGCCACCGCAGCCTTAACCTGTTGGGCTCAGGTAATCTTTCTGCCAAGTAGCTGGAGCTACAAGCAAGTGCCATCACTCCTGGCTATTTTTTTTTTTTTTTT